GGGGGGGGGGGGGGGGGGGCAGGGCGAGAGGAGGCGTGCTCAGGGAGGCTGCCTCCTCTTTCCCGCAGTCCCGCAGTGTAGGGGAGAAATAGGAGCCACACGATGGTTTTGATAAGGAAACCAGGTTCACTGAAAGTCAGATCAAGATATTATAAGAATTCAGCTGAGATTCACATCCAGATCTGACCAACCAACACACTTTCCTCTGGGACGTCAGTGTATTTCACGTGCAGGCTCTGGTATGTACTTCAGTGATTAGAATGAAACCCCTCAGGAAGAGGCACAGACTGCCTAGTAAAGTGGCCAGGACTCTGGAGAAAGGACATTAAAATAGCTCTAAAGGTAGAACACAACTGTGCCACAGAGCCGGGGGGGGGGGGGGGGGGGAGGGCCACGTGGGCGAGAGAGAACCTAAGGGCTCAGGAAATAAGCTTTCAGTGAGACACAAAAAGTGAGGAAAAGGGGAAGATTGAGAGATGACGACCTCCAACCCAATAAAACTTGCTTCTCTTTCCCAGGCTTTTTGGAGTTGGGAACGATTTGTAGATGTGGAACCACAGGTGGAAAAAAGCCCATGGCAGCAATATGGCCCAGAAATCCCTGGGCGGCTGCTCCTGAAGCAGGATCCCCCCGGGGAGACAAGGTAGTGTCGTCAGAGGGAACAACGTGTAGACAGGCCTGAGTTCTGTCCACTCACTGAAGACCCGGATGTGGGAGATCGCTCTCCCTGAATTGTGAGCCCACACCCCTGCAGGCTTTCCGTCTCTCACGTTGCTCACACTGTGCCACGGTGCTGTCTGACGACGGAAACTGTGATAAAACTGTGTTCGGAGTGTTTATCCTTTATTTATGATTTAAGATATTTCCAGGAATTATGGAATAGGAGGATATGTTACTACCCAGCAATATTCTTTAAAACAAAATGCTTAGGGAATTTATAAAAATTTGCCTGGATCTTTGCCTTACAAATGGAATGGCAGAAAGGCTAGTGCATCAATTAGGCAAGTTTCCACCCTGTACATAGAGCAACGCTACTGACACCACTGGGGTCAGGGCACGTGTGGTGAGCAGCTTTTGAGTCGTAGGAGGGCTTACGTGATCCATCTGCACTACTGACCTCTAGTTAAGATGCGGTCATCCAACTGACCAGCAAACTTCTACTGATAGCTACTATATGCCAGGTACTATGCGACACAGCGGGGATACTGACTGGAGTAAGACACGGCCCTTTATGCTCAACGAGATGATATCCACTAGGGGGAGCCAAATACATACGTAAGAGTGATAACCAGTGGAAGGTGCTGGGATAGTCTGTGTGGAAGGTGTCGGGGGTGGGGGCGGGTATCAGAAAGAAATGGGCAAATCTGGCCCAGGATTGGTCAGGAAAAGTCTTCAGAGGGAAGGTACCCCTGGCACACGTTTCTGAGGCTCCTTACCCAGAATAAGGAGGCTGCAGAGGTGAGCATGGACAGTTAGGCTTCTGTATGATGCTAACTGCAGTGACCGAAGGTGAGACCTTTGGGCTGGGCCTTCTGAGTCACGCACACGCTCCATCTCACACTGACCTGGTCTGAGGAAAAAGATCCCCCTACGAGTTCAACGTGGCTGCCTAGGAGAACAACACACCATCCGAGCCTGAGCCGCACGTAAGTGATGTCTGAGTACCACGGTTTTTAGAAATTATCTCTTCTTTATTGGCACATTCATATAAAAAGTTTGATATATTTGGGCTGGTAAAAGAAAGCCACAGTGTATATAAAGAAGGAAGTTAAAAAATACATGGCTTTAGTGTTTGGAGAAGCAGTTACGGATTGCTTCCTCAGTTTAATTATCCAGGCGATCGAAATTCTGGGTTTGAAACTCTTGGAAGTCCTCTGGGATGGTGTCTGCAAACAAGAAGAGGCACAGCGGGGGTTAGTGAGGCTGCTGACACCCTGGAGGCCCGTCCCTCTCTTGCTGTGCGGGCATCCTGTAGGGGTCAGTGTCAGCCTGCCCAGCTGGCCCGGGCAGCCACTTTCGACTTCAGGCTGCTCTGCAAATTGTTGGCTTAAAGCCCAGGAGTGCTCATTCACAGGCCTCGAGAAAATTAGCAGGCAGAGCAAATTTTTAGTCTGATTATGTTTGAGCCATATGAAAATAAAGGCTGCCTGTAAATTAAACCTGACTGAATCCTAAACCAAGCAGTTTAATTCCATGGGTCTCGATTTCCTCCTCCATCAAACAGGAAAAGTGAAATCTACCTTTCACTTTGGTGACACAGGGACTATCAGGTTTTAATGTGCATGAGCTTTGGGCTTCTGGGAGGAAAGTGTGCTATAAAAATGAGGTGGCATTATTTGATTAGTTCAAGTAATAATACTTGCAGTAACAAGACTGTACGTTACCATTGCAGCGATACTTGAGGTTGGACCAAATGATGTTTTCTTGGGAGAAGCAGAAGACGCCAAGCCGGCCTCCACGCATGGTGGTGTCGATGGTGACCCCGGAGTCAGCCACCAACTCGGAGCCTTCATAAAATCGTACCCTGCAGACAACACAGCCCGAGCGGGTCTCCGTGAAACTCAAACCGAGGTCAGGGTGAAGTGCTCATCATGAGACCAGGGTCCCACTCCTCAGACACCCGCATCTTTCTCTCCTTCATACTCCATTTGTCACAGACCTGCACTGTGCTCCAGCTGTCCCCCTTTCCTGCTAGATTGGAAGCTCCATGAGGTCAGGGACTGTGTGTCCATGTGCTCTATCTTCTGTCTCTCCAAAGGTGTAACACGATGTTGGGCACAGAGTCAAACTTGATGGGAACTTGCTGGGTCGCAATACGACCCAGGACTAAGAGGCTTTGCGACTTCATTGTCTTGTGAGTTACCTTGTCTAGACACCATGCTGAAAAACGGCTCCTCTCCTTAGGTCTGACTGATATCATTTGTTGGAATCTCAGAGCAGAGATTCTCATCAGGAGTGACAGCGTGCCCTCAGCAAGGCTGTAGAAATTTGTGAGGGTATTTATGACTGTCACTGTGGCATTCAGTGACAGAAGCCAGGGATGCTGATGGCTTACAATATCCTGAAGAGAACAATCAAAACTTTTCCTGCATCCCATACACTTCTGGAATGTTCCTCCAGACACTTGGGTAAGTGAAGAGCCTGTGTACAATTATCCAGGCCTAGAAACTAACTTGTTTTCACTTGTGAACATCAAGTACTTATTGCAGTTTTAATATAAAGTGAATTTTCTAGGGTAAATTGAGAAACTGTTGAGTACTTTGTTGTGTTTGAAAATTAAGAGCTGTCCACCATTATAGAAATTCCCATCACTGTTGGCAAGACCACTGCAGTATTTAAGTCACCAAAACCACAGCCTGTGTTAGAATGTCACCCCCACAGTGATTCCAGGTAACGGCGCAAGTGCCTGTCTCACTCTGTGTTCTGGTGTGGTTCTGCCCAAGCGTTTACAAGATTTTGTTATAAATTATTCTCTTTTCTCTATTATATTCTTAGGGATCAAATTGATTTTCTAAAATTATAGGTGCAGGTAGGTTATTTTCTATGATTTCATTTTGGGACAGAAGAGGGTACATTTCAAAATATTTGTTATAAGAAAGAGGTGTTAGGCTTAATCGGGCTGAGAACATGATTACGTTACTGTGAGACAAACACAGAACATTTGACATAATGTCTCAGAGAAGAGCAAAACATGAACTAGCCCTCGTGATTTCCTTTTCTCCACTAGGCTGCTTTCCTGCCCTGGTCAGCGGAAGGCAATCGGTATACCTTCCCAAATGCGCTACGGAGGCTGGCGTGGGCGCTGATCTGTAAGTCTGAGGAATGAGACGGGAAGCACAATACGTAAGTCTGAACTTCAGAGATGTAGTCCTAAGCCATCCTAACTTCTGGGGATAGTTTTTAGCTTTTGTTCTGAAATAGTTCTCTAGGAAAATAGGCAGATGACACTGGCACACGTGAAGATCAGTTCATGCCGCGTGCATCGTGCCAGGCACTGGGGACCAAGCTAAACTAAGACACAGGCGCTGTCCTCACGGAGTTTACAGTCCAGGAGGGAAGACGGACTGGAAGGGAGTCCCTGCGGTGCAGTGGGGCATATTCGAATAAGTGATCGTTCAGGGCCCAGAGGGATTGCAGGGGCGGTGTGGATGGAGACTCAGCCCCACGTCCCACCCCATACCGGTCAGTGTGTCCATGCTCGGGCATCTCTGAGAGCACAGCAGGAGGGATCACCATTCAAGTGCACCAGGCCCCCAGTGCTGAGACCTCCCCCTGTGAAGGTCCTTCCACCCCCAGTTTGGCCCTCCTGTCCAGTGGTCAGTCTGAGGTCTCAGAAATCCTGGCATGCCCTTGAGGGTCAGGACTGCTCAGGGCAGCGAGGGCTCTGCGGTGCTGAATGAGCGGGCGCTTTGCTTCAGGTGCCAGGTGAGGAGACGGGCCCTCCGCCTACCTGATGTAGCCCACCTGGGGCCGGTGTTGCAGGAACCAGCGGTAGGATACCTTGTCCTTCCAGCCCACGTTCCTGGAGTCCTTCCACAGCAGCCTCACCTGGTCGCTGGTGTCCCCAGTGTGCCACAGGGAGTTGCGGAGATGCTCCCCTGGACCTGTCTGAGACTTCACGGCCTGGACAATGACACAGGCAAGGCTTTAGAACAGAATGCACAGACCATCCACCCTTCCTGGGTGCCTAGGGTGGTGAATTCTTGGGGATGATCTGGCTGCCTTGGATTCAGACAAAAGCATAACCACTTAAGTGCCATGTCTACTGAGGTGACCCCAACCCATTAGTAATCAGCACTGGCCAATATTCCACTAGCCCGTTCCACATTTTTCCTGCTGTAAATCCATCGTTCCCCACATTTGTCTGATGGGGGCTTGAAGTCTGCCTTTTCTCCCAGCAGGAAGGACAGGCGTAGCCGCTCAGCCTTCAAAGTCAGCCCTCTCAAGGAAACAGACGAGCCCATCTCCAACATGGTGTGCCTGAAGATGTACCCCCAAATCTTTACTCGGGTTGACGTTCTCACCATTAGAGGCACCCAGGGGTTAGAATGTAGCTCGTACGTGGGAATGAAGGCAGGGCCCTGACCTGAACACTAGCACAAATGCATCAACTTCTCGGATGAACTAAATGCCAAATGGGAGAAACCAGAATTTAAAAGGAGGGTGAAGATCCTGGAAGGAAGGGAGACGAGTGACTTTAAACCGCCACCTTAAGCTGAATGCCAGGTTCTGCAACAGCTCGGAACGGGGTGGCCTGCCAATACGTCTGCTCTGTCTGCTTCCACATGACCACGTAGAAGCTGGAGCTGTCTTGGTAACCAAAGATAAAGCCGGCATAATCATCGTCCGTCTGGGTGTTTACGTGGAAGGTCCCCTCAAAGTCAACTCCATTAAAAGCGGTGTACCCTGCAGAGATCAGGATAAGACATTAGAAAGGCAGACAAGCCACAGGAACACCTGGAAAGAGTGAATTCTACACAAGTGGTAACTGAGGCCCTGGACATACCCACTGCCAGGCCGGGGTCACTGTTCATGGTCTGCACGATCTCCATGCCCTGCAGAGAGAGTTGGAGGAGTTAAGAGCAATCCTAGAGGGCCTGGAGAAAGCTCAAGGACGCCCAGAACCTCAGGCGTCATGGGTGAGTGGTAAGTGATGTCTGACCTCCACGTAAAGATCTCATTATCTGAGGAATTGCTGTACCTGATTATGTGCTCAAAGAAAGGACTAATTTGTTAAAAAAAAAAAAAAGTTCAAAGCAGAATAGAAATAATTTTGCTGAAATTGTCATTTAAGCTGATCCAATAAACTCTTACTTGGAGAACGTACACTTCTAATGAAGGTGACTTGCTGGGTGATGCTAGAAAGCTTAAGCCTCTCTGTGCCTTCCTCCTTCAATCACACAGTGACCAGGACACGCAGGAGGCAGTCTCCTAGAGAGATCAGGAGCCTGGCTCTAGGGTCAGACCACCTGGGTCCCAATGCCAGCAATCTCAGCCATCCTCCTGCAGTGCTTCCGTGAGCCACCAGTAAAGCTTCATGAGACTCAGTCTCATCATCCGTACCACGGGGCTGATGACTGCTTTGTCGTAGGGCTATTGTGAGGAATAAATGCGATGTGGAACAGCGCCTGGCTTGCAGTCAGCACCCTCCAAAGTTACCTACTGCCCTCAGAAGGGCCTGTGTTGAGAGGCAAAGCTGAGCTCTTGCCGACCATGTGACACTCACCTGGTTCAGGACCACCCAGTTGGGATCGATCTGGGCGTCGCCTTCAGGGTCCAGGACCACAGTCTGGTAGGCCCTGAAGTCGGTCAGGGTGACCTCCGCGTTCTCTGGGCAGACGTCGATCCAGTCGATGACCTGGTCCTGGTCAAAGTCTGTCTCACAGATGTCTCCCACACCGTCTCCTGAGTGCGGAGGAGGAGGGGAGAGGAGGTTGATCGTACCGACACCCCCGCCCAGACCCCACCATTGCTCGACAGACAAACGGGCTGGGCAAGGAGCGGAAGAGAGCCCAAGCTCCACCTCCAGGGCTCTGGTTTGCACCCTCATCGGGAGAGAAGCCCTAGAATCAGCTGCATCTGAGCTGGCCCTGGGCCCCCACCCCAGAGTCCTTGTGGTGGGTTGGTGAACCCCACTGAATGTGATCAAAAGAACTTCCTGGGGACAGAGTGGAGGGCAACCATTCAAAACTGACCTTACAGGAAACTCTAGGTGTCCTCTGAGGACAGTGGGGTTCACCAACTGGAGGATTCTAAGCCTGACCTTACACAAGCAAATGTCTCTAGCACTTTCTGGACTATAATGTATAAAAAACAGGGGAATTATTGTCACCACAGCATCTCTAAGACCGTAATTTCTGGTGGTCCTTAGGCTGCAGCTGGCCCACCGTGTGTTTTGTTCCGCTGACATCATGGTATTAAGATATCTGAATTTGCATAGCTGTGGATGGGCATGCCCCACCAGCTCGCCACAGTCCTCAGCTCTCTGCTGCCTCATTTCTGGCTTTGTGCATCCCTTTCCTTATCTGCTTGGCCCCGCAGGCATCTGAGTTTATGGCCCCACCTAAGCCATGTGCTGCTGTGACTCCTCGTGAAAGGAGCAAGCGGGATGGTGGAGCAGCTCTCCAAGCCCCTGGAGCAGGTGCGTGAGGCTGCTTCTCTGCTCCTAGGATCTCATCCTAGGGCCACTCGGAAGCTGCCAAGCAGCTTTTCTCAGACAGAGGTGGAAACCAGTGTCTACCACACGTCTACTGTCCACACAGGCTGTGGCTACTCAGAGAAGCCGGTTCCCTGGGAGAGGTGCGCCACCAGGTGCCTGGCTGAAGGGAGCCCGGGGTCCCACGCAGCCCTGGGCTGTGCCCACTTACTGTTGCTATCCTCCTGGGCTGGGTTGGGGACCAGCCGGCAGTTGTCTGGTCCAGGGGGCACCAGGTCTGGGATGCCATCATTGTCATCGTCATCATCACACTCGTCACCAATTCCATCCTTGTCAGTGTCCAGCTGGGCACTGTTAATGACAGTGGGGCAGTTGTCTGTACTGTCCTGGTGCCCGTCTCCGTCACTGCGGGAGGAAGGAGAGGTGGTTTGCATCACAGAGGGCAGGAAGAGTCCAGCGCTCAGGAGGGAGAGTTTGGGTTTGGCGTTTTAACCAGGCTTGGTCTAGTATCAAACCCACAGGTCCTTAGATGAGGCTGCCCTCTGGGCTCAGAGACCATTTTCCCCACTTCCTCAACCTGTTTCAAGTAGATCAGGTCCTATGCAGGAAGATAGGGCTGGTTTCCATGATTTTGTGACCAGATGCTCCTATCGGTCCCTGGGACTGATGTGCAAAGGGAACAATGTGAGGGCCAGGGAGTAGACTGCTCGGTGTGAACCCGGGCTCAGCTGCGCACCAGCTTGTGGCCCCAAGCATGATCCTTGACCTCTCGATGGCTCAGTGTCCTCCTCCGTAAAATGGGAACATAACAAAGCCTACTGCATAGGGTTGTTGTGAAGATTGAGTGATTAGAATGGTGCATATTCAATTTTAATAGATGAAAAAGCATTTCTAAGCACCAGGCTCTTAGGAAGCCTTGCAATGTTTTCCTTTCTATTACTCTTCATAATCCCCTGCCAGCGGACCCAAGCAGGATTGGATGTGAGGGCCAGCAGGAGAGTGGCGAAGAGGACAGAGCCGTGCTTCCCCACAGGTGGGCACGTAGGCTGGGCTCAGGCTTGCAAAGCACTTCTCAGAACCCTCATTCTCTGCCTGCCTGATTTTTCTTCTTTCCAGGTCTAATGGCCACCTGAGGATGAGGCTGTCCTGTCCCCAAGGTTTCCCTGAGGTGATGGAGACCGCCTGTGGCTACTGTGGATCAGAGTAGATACTCCCTTCACCTGGCTCTACCCATGGGCTGTGCTGGGCTGGGAGCTGCCCCTATGCAGTCTAGGATGGGACGGAGAGGGGTGCCAGGGACCAGTCTATGTCCTTCACGCCATGCTTCCCAGGGCGGGTCCCAGAGAACATGAGGCCAACCTGGACAAGCAGAGACAACACGGCTCAAACAGTGAAATTCCTGGGCATGTAGCAGGGCTGCTTTTGAAATCACAAGCTTGAGCTATTTCCATTAGCGGCCATTCTATACAGCCTTGAAGATTTTTATGCAAAAGCAAGCAGTTCCTGTCCTCCTCGCCAGGGTTCAAGTTTGTGGGAATTAAAACGTAGCAGAATGAGTCATTTATTTTAGGCAAATATCTAGCGGCTGGTGGAATAGGATATTTTAGAAATTACTTTGATGGCGATCAGAGTACAGGATGACCTGCAACAGGAAACATTCCTGATGGGCATCATTTAGCGAGGTTGCCACGGCACCAGTTCTGCCTTCCTCTCAAAAATGGAGACATTCTATGTGAGACCCTGTCGTGGACTTGCCTCTCCTCAAGCTGTGGCAACAATATAACACAGCCACCACTTTCTGTAGGTCACCTGAGGGCCAGCACTGGGCCAGGGGCATTCCCTGCAGTATCCTTCATTTTCACTATAACCTGCCAGATGCATTTAATTATCTCTCTGTTGCAGATGAAGAAATTGAGATTCTGACAGATTGACAGATGTGTTTAAGTTCACTTGCTGAGGATGTACTTTGCAGCAAGGACACTGAGCACAAGGACGGAGAGGGGACTTTATAGGAGTTGTCCTTGAGCAAGGTTTGGCTTGAGAACCGCTGTCTGCAGGGCAACCTCTCAGAAGAGGTTGAGAAGGGCAAGCTATGTTCCTTTCCGCTTTGCCTTTCAGAATCCCTGCCTCTCATCCTGGCCCACTGCCTCTATAAGGATTCCCTACAGAGATGAAAGGGTGAAGAGTGGGGGACCGCAGGGCCTCTGGGGCAGAGCTGCACACGTCTGTGTTTTTGGTGATGTTCTTACGGCATCTGATCCAGCCATGTGTCCTAACAAAGGGCTCCATCCATGTGGGGCGAGCAGGGCTGACAACATTCATTTGCATAGAACAATTCCACTCAAATAAAGGAGACTGAAAGAAAAAATCCTAAGGACAATGAAATAACAGTGATCTCTCAGCAAACTGACAGCTTTCTATTTCGGGACAATGGAGAAGCTTTCCTGTGCTGAAAGTAGAATAGTAAAAGAGCGAATACCTGCAGAGTGCTGTCAATGGAATGGAAACTGTAATATGCACTCTTCATAAATTAACTCGGTTAATTTTCACAACAGTCCTATGTGCTACCTTCCGTGTCATTCCCCTTTTACGGATGAGAGAATCGAGGCACAGAGAGATTAGGTAAGTTGCCTAAGGCCGGCTGTTTGTCAGTGAAGGAGCTGGGACTTAAACAGAACTGTGTCACTCCAGAGCCCATCTCTGCAGCGAGATGCTATGCTGCCTGTCTTGTAATAGAATCTCACTTGCTAGAGTGCCTAGTGGCCCCTCCTGATACTGTGACCCCCATGCAGAACTTTCAAGGAGGCAGGGCTGTTGTCCCCTGAGCAGCTCAGTCTACCCAGAGAGATCCCAAAGCATGGTGGCAGCAGAGAGCTCTGAAAGAAAGAGCACATCTGGCCCTGTGCCGCTGGGAGATGTGCCATACCTGTCCTGGTTGGTGTCACAGGAGTCCCCAACCAGGTCGTTATCCACATCAGACTGCAAAGAGAACAGAATGTGTTGTTACTTATCCCTGGGCCTGCATGCACAGAATGTTCCAGAGGAGGCAGACCTGGTCCATCCTCACTGGATCTCTGAAATTGGGGTGATGCAAAACTGCAAAAGGACAACACCATATCAATGTAGGCACAATGCTGAACTTTCACAAAAGGCCTTCCAAAATATCAAGCTCCATGGATGGGCTGCCTACACACCAGACGAGCTGGTTGGGAAGGGCACCGGGGCAGCGTGGCCGCAGGTGGAGATGCGGAACTCTGGCACGGGTCGGAGGGGAGCCAGCCACAGGCACGGGGACGAGGCACTCTGGTGGTGATGTGCTTCTGCATGTTGGAGTGGAGCCGGCATGGGAGTGAGTCACAGAGGGAACAATGACTCCCTCTCTCAGGGCTTAGAAAACCCATGACCCATCACAGCCAATTATCCAGACAGGAAGGAGGAGTGAGAGGGGAACACCACGTCGCTACTGAACTTAATCTGAAACGTCCACACACAGGCTGTGTAGGGGTTTGGGGACTAAACAGTTAATTTCCACATAATATTTTCTTGTCTGCAGAAAAAATTTGTTTTGGGCATCATTAAACTCATATTATTAATGCCATAGGCTATCTACAGCCAGCCTGGGAGATTAGTCCAGAGGGCCTCAGATCTCCTGTAATGTCCTTCCTGTCACCTCTGGGCCTGAAGTCTGCAATTTCACCCCCTCTGCTCTGTTAGGTATGCAGCAACAGCAAAGAACTGAGCCGGCGGGCTGTACTGTGATTTTAGACATTGGTCTTCAGTGAATCTTTGCGTATGGAATTCAGCCCAGAGACTGCATTCCCTGTATCCTACTAACCTGGTTAGGGTTGCTGACATCAGGACAACTGTCGCAGGCATCCCCCACGCCATCACCATCCTTGTCCTGTTGGTCACGATTGGGAGCTTTGGGGCAGTTGTCCAGAATGTTTTTTATTCCTATGAGAAACGAATGCTTCCTTGAGGCAGGCAAAGACCCCAGAGAGGTCTGGGACACAGACTTGCAGGTGCTGTGGCGATCAGGCCTGCACACAGGCAGTAGTGGCCTCTGCCGGGGCCACCCTCAGACAGCCACTGTGTTTTTAGCAGTTATCTGGACGTAGTGTCAAAGGATGGGTTCTGGGTGACTTGAAAACGAAGGGTAATCTGAGGCATTTATTCAGTGAGTTATAATTTGTCCAACACAGCAAGGGCTGTCACTGCAACCAGAGGAGTGGGTCCCAAGGGCTAGGTGGGCCACGCCTGGAGAGGGAGCACCTGTGGGCATGTGAGCTGTGACTGAGACCAAGGGCTCCGGCAGGGGTATGCTGGAGCTGGCCCATTGTGACCCTCTCTTCCCAGCTTCCCCTTCAGTCCTGTCATCTCGCACTGTTAGCTTGAAATCAGCGATGGTGGGAGTGGTAGTTACATCATGGAAACTGGCAAATGCTACAACTCGGAGCTTTTTGTGTATGTTTTGTTGAGCTGGTTTACCAGCACACCACTGGGGTGGGGAGTGCATTTCTAAAAGGAGTTTCCTTCAAGACGTTGTCATGTGATGTTTTTCAGAAACTATTGGAGCCACCTGCACTTTGATGATAGTCATCTATGTGTTATGGAAGCTATACAGGAACAAATGTCCTTCCTCAAGTCCTGTGAGGCTCCAGGGGGCGCCATGCACACAGACCACAACAGGAGGCCCCTTCAGCAGACCCTGGAGCCGGGTGATGCAGCCGCCCTGCCTCCACAGCCCTTCCCAGAACAGGCAGGGGATGTCCATGTCTGGCAAATGCCTGGTTCTCTGCAGCAGGAGCCTGACTCGGAGGCGGTAGCCTGTGGCCCTGTTCAATCCCCCTAGTTCAATTCTCCATTTCCAGGACTCTCACGCGGGAAAGGGACGGTGAGGAGTGGGCAAAGGTACAATCTGGAAGACAGATGCCCTACAAAGACACAGCCCTGAAAGACACTGCCTGAAGGGACTCCTACAAGGGTTCTGGCAATGATGTAGAGTTGCAGAAACACCCAGGGTTATTCAAAAGGAGAGTGGGCTGTGGAATCTCCTTCCACAGAAACAAGTGGACCTCAGGTCCCCCAGGCACAGGCTGTGTTGGAACCACCTGGAGCGGGAAGGCTCCCTGAGTCAGTCGGTCCATTCCTGCTCCTAGCAGAGAACAAGGGCGAACAGACAAATGAGTCCCCCCAAAAAGACAAAGCAAGACAAACCCACCATCGCCATCCATGTCATCATCACAGGCATCCCCTTTTCCATCCCCATCAGTGTCTTTCTGGTCATTATTTAGGACATTCCGGCAGTTATCACAGGCATCCCCAAAGATATCTTTGTCACTGTTCCTTTGGTCCATGTTGTGAGTCAGGACACAGTTATCCTAAAGGATCAGAAGACTGAACATTTACTCAGACTTTCACTGAATCCCTCCTGTGTGCCCAGTCATGTGGTGGATGCCGCCCAACCTCCACCCCCATCGTCATGAGTTGTCAGAACTCAGGAGGCCCAAGTTTGTCAGTTTCATATTTTAAACATTTGAGAATCTTAGAATACAAAGTTGCAGTGCTAAGGGAATGCATGCATTGAAACTAACATTTGGGATGATGAATATAAACAGTTGACTTCATGGACTTTATTCCATCACCCCTAGTATGTGGCAATTCACAGGCCTTCCCAGCAAAGCAGGTACCTGCTCATTCAGGACCCCATCTCCATCAGCATCCTCATCACAAGCATCTCCAATGCCATCTCTGTCTGCATCTTCTTGGCCAGAATTTGGCACATACTTGCAGTTGTCCTAAGGGGGGGAAACACAGCTCAGAGAGAAATCCACATCTGTCTTTTTGTTTTTTTCAGCTTTATAGAGAGATAACTGACAGGTGAAATTGTAAGATATTTAAAGTGTACAATGTGATGATTTGATATACATGTATACTGTGAAAGGATTTCCCCCCTCGAGTTGAATAACACATCCATCACCACACATATTATGCCCCCTCCTTTTTGGGGCAGAGAACATTTAAGTTCTACTCCCTTAGCATATTTCAATTATACAATGCAGTGTTATCAGCTATAGTCACCATGTTCTACATTAGATCCTCAGACCTTATTCAACCTATAACTGAAAGTTGGTACCCTTTTACCACCTTCTCCCTATTTCCCCGACTCCCATCTACATCTGTCTTAAGCCAAAAACTATTTCTGACCTTGAAACTGACCAAGGCTGCCTGGCTTCGTCGTTGGTGACTGTTTTGCTACATTTAGATGCAGCTACTTTAAAAATGCAGTTTTAAATGGAACCCACAGAACCTCTCCCCCAGATAAGATGTGCCCTTGGGAAGCCAAGTGTATGTGTGTTCGTGTGTGTCTTTTTTCCTGCTTGTCCTCCTTACCTTCTTACAGTTCCTGGCAGAGCATGGCAGTTCCTCATCAGGGTAACTGTCGATGTCCACATCCTTTCCACAGATGTATCCATCACCAGCCCAACCGACTCCGCACTGTGAAGGGAAAGCCCATCAGAGGCCTGCGAAGCTGAGCCTGGTGGGAAGCTGGTGGCTAACAAGGGCCTCGCTCCTGTGTGTGCATCCCCAGAGGGAGGGCTCAGAGCCAGAAAGCTTTGTTGGGTAGGATTTTAAAACCATCAGGTTGTTTTTGAACAGTCTAATGGTTCAAAATTCAAAAAATATAAAGGGAGATATAGTGAAACTCCTTTCCACACCTGTTCCCTCGGCTCAGGAAATCAGGGCGATCTGTTCTCATGAACACTTTCTGAGACACGCTGTGCTTAGTCAAGCAAATGCACAGGCACACTCTCTTTTTTTCCTTTAACACAGTCTGTAGCACACACATACACAGTGGTGCACCTTGATTTTTTTTCACTTTTTATTAAGATTATGATAGTTTACAACGTTGTGAAATTTCAGTTGTACATTACTGTTAGTCTTGTTGTAGGTGCACCACTTCACCCTTTGTGCCCTCCCCCCACCCTCACCTTGATTTTTTTCAATTAACATTGTATCTTGGAGCTCTTTTCATATCACTCCACGTGGATTCATGTCATTCTTTTTGGCCATGGATGTATCATACATAAGGTGTGGTATGCGTCTGCCTCAATTAATTCAACCAGTCCTCTCCTGGTGGATGTCAGGTTTTTAAAATCTTTTTCTATTGCAAACAGTGCTGCCATAAATAATTCTAGTACATTTGTCATTCTGCACATGTACCAGTTTCTTAGTGGGATGGTTCAAAGTGGGATGATTCCTGGTTCAAAGAGTATTTGTATTTGTAATTTTGAGTTATTGTCAAAATGTCCCCCATATTATGGTCAACTGTCTTCTCCCAGTGGGAATGAATGCGTGAACGGGTGGAGTGGCCTATGTGGCACTTTCCTTATCTTCTTGGGCCACAGTCATATCTCTGAATCTAACAGTCTTCTCGATCAATCTCCACCAAAGGAGGAACTTTCCGAGGTGCTGTACCTCGGTTCATACCCTTTTCTTTTAACAGAAGAAGGTTCTCACAGGCGCAGTGCAGGGTGTGCACGTTCTCTATTCCCTGGAGGGGTGGGCTCTTACCCTACCACCCTCCAGGTGGGCTCTTAACATCAGCCGCTGGGAACAAGCCTTCACTGTCAGCAGAACAGGCATTAAAATAACAGTTATGCCAAACCAGACTCTATAACCATGTTCTCCAATGCCTACACTGATGCTGCAAGGTCATCCTTATCCCATTTTACAAAAAGGGCAACTAGGCTCAGAGTGGTTAAGTCCCTTGCACAAAGTCTCAGAGCTGGGACTTGAACTCAGGCTCGTCCTGGTCACTGTCTTTCGCCATTTCTATTTGGTTGATGCGCACACTGAGCTCCTCCTCTGACATTCTGTACCCTCGTTGGCCTAGTTAAAGGATGGCTGAGAAACCAGAGAAAGGAAGTCATTCCACAAGTGGTGTCCTGGGGATGAGGGGTCCCTGGGAGCTCAGCCCAGGAAGAGGAGGGGTGGCAGAAGAGCAGAAAGAACAGGGGAGAAGGGGGCCTAGAAAATAAAAGAGAACCAGAAAGGCAGGGAGAGGGAAGAGTCTGAGGGGAACAGAGTCAGGGGCAAAGGAAAGGAAACCTTACATGAGTCAATATTAAATTTCCTGACCTCACTAATCAAAATAAGGTGATTTAAGACTGGTGACTTTCTAAGCTGCAGCCTGCCTGTTCTTAATCATCTGCGCTCTCCTTCTGCAACCAGAGATTTAGGAGGCAGGATTCCAAAGGCAGCCCTCCCAAAACTACCCCTATTTCCGCTCAATTGCTTCAGCAGGGCCTTCAGAAGGCCTGGAAGGCTCAGCCGTGGGGTATGGTCCTTGACTCATTTTAATGAAGAAAAAATTCCCTCTAGGAACAAATACATTTTTAATGAGCCATTTTCTGGCAGATTACGTTATTTTAGTAGTCACACCAAGCGTATTAATCCTTTACCATCTGTCGTTGTGCCTTATTACAATTTCAAAAACATATTAAGAGCCCCATCACCCACCATCCCAGGGAAGTTGTTAATTTGTTCACAGAAAATGAGGATTTAAACATAGATATACACTTGCCTCTCAATGGTAATAAACACGCGCGAGCAACAGGAATGAGGGAAATTGTTGGCTTTTTCCCCCCTCCACCCTAGCTCGCTGCTTCCTCAGGACCTTGTTACAGACTACCTATATTGCTGGAGAGAGCTGACCTCATTACATTTATTTCTTTTACTTAGTTTTGATTCTTCTCATTTTTCCTATTTGAAAAGTGATATGCTCACTGTAGAAAATTTTGCCAGCATAAAGATAAAGAAGTCTAAGTTTGAGATATAAAGAAGAGGGAAAAAGTCTCCCAGAATCCATCCTGCTGCTCGGAGGTTATCAGCATGTACCTGTGAGTCTCAGCCTCTGAAGGGCCACCTGCCAAGGGCCTGGCTCACTGGGAAGGAAGGAGGAGGTGTGCAGCTGAAGATGGCTGATTCATTCGTGCCTAGAATCCCCAGGGACTCAGGAGCCTGGGGTTTGGGAGTGGATGGCAGGAACGAGCCGCCTTCTTTACCAAGGGCCCACTAAACACGCCTGGCGTGAGACCCAATTCAGGCAGTGACTGGCCTGTTCTCGTCCCAGCCTTCTCCTTCCCATTTTGGCTCCAGGGCTGGGAAATGCACAGGAAGAAGAGTGACCACCCACTTAGCTATTCCTGAATCTAGATGGGGGCGGACACAGCATGGCGCCCTCCGCCCTCACCCACTCACCTGCGGGAGACGGGAGGTTTCCCTCTGAGGGTTTATACGACCCACCACCTCTCCAGTGCCACCCACCTCCTGGAGTATTGGGTCAGATTTCGAAAGTGTGAGGCCAATTAGAAATGACAGCAGTACACTAATAAATCATATAAACAAGCAAGGGCAGGAGACGGAAGAGAGGGAAGGAGACTCCTTCACCTCGTGCTGCTCACTTCTCGGGCTTTCCACAGAGGGCGCTTGGGAGCTGGGGCTCCACCACTGAGGTGCCCAAGGGGATGGTGTTGACCCACGGCCAAGAGGGACAGAAAAGGCAACTGATGGTTAGATGGACTTCAGGTTGCTCCCCACAAACTCAATTGATGACCCTGTTCCTATTACATCCTCTGTTTATCTTGACCGAAATGTTTCCATTTTTGAGTGCATTTACCCTGAAGCAAGTAGAAATCAGGGAGGGGTGGTGTTTAAAATGGATGAGGCAAAAATGATAAAGCAAGTAACAAACAACTTACCACGCACGTCACATCCCCCTGCCTCCCTTCGATGCACTGCGCGTTCACGCTGCAAGGATTCAGTTCTGGATTCCTGCAGTTTCTTTCAATTTTGCATCCCCTTGTCTGATCGCCAGTGTACCCTGGTTTACAAGGCCCACAGCGATAAGACCCCTGCAGGGAGCAAGGACAAGACGATGAGCCAGGGGCTTGGAACTGTGAGCAAAGGTACCATGATGGTGTTTATGTTTCTATGTCCTCAGCGATGCCAGGACTAAGGGAGACCCATGCCTGCCTCTCTGCTTCCGTGTACGTCTTATAAGATGGTATGAATGTTGGGGAAGATGCCACCAGATTGGAAGATGCAGCCGTGAAGGAACAGAACTGATGCAGAATAAGGCTAGACAGGGAACCACCATCACTTTGACTTGCCAGCTCTGCTATGGGGGGCGGAGGGGGAAAGGGCTGAAAGTCCCAGTGAGAGGCTTTCCTCTGGGGACAGGGGAGATGGTTGGATTAAAAAGCCAGTTAGAAATTTTCTCTTTTACTGCTCCTTTGGCTTTTTTACAATTGAGAGAAAACGAACAGGTGTACAGAGAAATGTTGGTGATGTTGGTGGCCCTGCACTGAGAATTCTTGATGAGGTGGGCTGCTACGGAAGAAACCTGGCAAATGAGCTGTCAGCCCCATGGCAACGGCACCTCCACAGCCAGGCAAGACTTGTTCTTAAACAGCTTTCCTGAGATAAAATTTACATATCACAGAAGACACTCATGTAACGTGTACAAGTCAGGGATTTTAGTCACTTATGACTCTCAATCGCCAAACCCAAGGATGCCCTTCAATGACCTTTCTGGATCTACCCGCCTCACTGGATTCTCCACTGGTCAGCTGCCTCCTATTCTTGGCTTCTGTTCTTTCTCCTTCGTCTGCTTCGTTTGTGAGGTTCTCTGGAGTTCTACTTTCTAGGCACTTCCACTGTCTCCTTTCCTTCTCCCTGGGTGGCTTTAGTGATTACCTTTATGTCAATGTCTCCCATATCTACTTCTGCAGACTAGCTTTGTCCTGGTGAAAAGCTAAGAAGCAATAAATCCCTGTATATTCCTAGGTAGTAAGGCATTGTGGATAAGAACAGAGGCTCTGCAGCCAGACTGGAAGTCTTATGAGATGTGTGGCCTTAGCCTAATTACTTAACTTTTCTGTGCCTCAGTTTCTTCAACTGTAAAATGCGGATAATAATAATGCCCATTGACAGGGTTGCTGCGAGGATTAAAATAAGTGACTTGATCTTTAGAAAATGCTTGTAAATACAAGGAAACCAGGAACCTAGAGATTAATACTTTCCCGAGGACATGTGCTAAGTTAGAAGCAGTACACATGGGACCAGTAGATCTTTCCTGACAGTCCACTCTGCTACACCTATCATCTTGGAGCGGCCAATTTTTCAGAAGTGGGCGGCCAGGTCCTTCTTCCTAGTCTGACTTAATCTGGAGGGTCCACTGAAACCTGCCCACCATGGGTGAGCCTGCTGTTATTTGAAATCCTGGTGGCGTGTCTTTCAGCATCACAGTAACATGCAGCCCCTGTGGTGTGACAGTCAACAGACGGATTGTGTGGTTCCCTGACCAGGAAATGAACCCAGACTGCAGCAGTGAGAGTGCCAAATCTTAACCACTAGATCAACAGGGCTGGCTATATTCTGGAATACTGAACTATTAATATAAACTAAGAAGCTCTTCATATTTTTAAAATGCAAGAACAATAATATTTTATTCAATCATTTATCTTAAAAGCCCAACATTGCAACTTTGATAGAAGATAAAGAACAAGTTTGGCATTTATAAAATAATTCTTCTTTTTTTTTTTTGGTGAGGAAGATTGACCCTGGGCTAACATCTGTTGTCAATTCTCCCCTTTTTGCTTGAGGAAGATTGTTGCTGAGCTAATACCTGTACCAATCTCCCTCTATTTTGCATGTGGGATGCTGCCACAGCATGGCTTCATGAGTGGTGTGTAGGTTGGTGCCCAGGATCTGAACCTGCAAACCCCGGGCTGCCTAAGTGGAGTGTGTGAACCTGACCACTATGCTACCAGGCTAGCGCCTATAAAATTATTTTTATATAAAAAATTACTTATAAAATTACTCTTAGACTAAAAACTTTTTCAGCACAAACTTTTATCCTCATTTGCCAGATATATTATGCCCACATGTTGTACATGTTTTGCGGTTATGATTTATAAACATACCCTTGTTTTAATAACTGGTTTGCTTCGATAACAACAGCCATGAGAAACACTTACCAAAGTGTTAACACAGATGGAATTGAGAACGCATGCTCCATTTCGACACTCATCAATATCAGCGCAGACCTAGTGCAGAAAGGTTTAAAGAGACACTCTGTTTAAGGAGAAAGGCAAATAAATTTTGCTTTGTTTTGATATCTTTGTGTGAAGTGAAGATATGGAATTTCAGGTAGACGGTAATTAGAGCATCATTTCAGCCATCTCCCTGTGTTTGTACCCGTCCGTAGTTACCCTAATTCCAAGTGATAGCTGCCTACTTGGTATTTAAAGTTGCTCAGAAAAGACAACTTGTATGATTAACCTGTTCCACAACTTTTTCAGTCAAGAAGGTTCTTCTTTATCCTGCTTGGGACTTAGTGTACTTCTTCTATCTGAGGATTCCTATCTTTCTTCATTTCTGGAAAATTCTCAGCTTCCCTCTGCTCCAATTCTTTCTATTCTTTCTTTGGAACTACAATTAAACAATTAAACAAACACTGGGCTTTCTTATTACTCTCTTCTTTTTTTTTAACTTTTTATTGAGATTATGATAGTTTACAACCTTGTGAAATGTCAGTTGTACATTATTGTTTGTCAGTCATGTAAGTGCACCCCTTCACCTTTTGTGCCCGCCCCCCAACCCCCATTTCCCCTGGTAACCACTAATCTGTTCTCTTTGTCCACATGTTTAACTTCCACATATGAGTGGAGTCATACATAGTTAATCTCCTCTTTTGACTCTTAATCTCTCATCTATATTTTCCATATCTTTATTTCTCTGTGCTGCATTCTAGATGACTTCCTTAGATCTATCTTCCAATCTCTAAATTCCCTGTTATCTGTCTTGCCCATCTATTGAGTTTTTAATGTCAATGATTATATCTTTCACTGAATAAATTTTACATGGCTATTTTTCAAACTTGCTTACTTTCTTCCCCCGACATTGCCCTGTTCTTTAATTATGGTATCCATTCCTCCCTTTTTCTCTTGATCCTTTTGAACTTGTTTTTTATTGATCATGTTTCCTCATGGTAGCCTCTTCATATAAATTGCCATTTTTGTTGATGAGCATATCCTTGGTGGCCCCACTTTTGCCTGTGGGCGTTTGACTGGCCCTGAGTTTTGGAGTCTCTTCACAAAGTGGCATGGCTTTGACATTAGCCAGGGCCCTGGGGATTTTATTACTCCGTGGCTGGTTTTTGTATTCATTTTTTGGCTTGTGTTTCTGCATTATATGTGTAACTTAGATTTGGAGCTCACAACCATATGTGGTACAAGCTTGGAGCTTTGGTTTGTTCGGGGCAACCTTCATTTCTGTCAACCATGTTCCAAATCAGAGATATCAAGCTTCCTTGTTGATCTGGGGGCTGGTAAAGTTTTCCCATTTCTTAGTACTGGGTAAGGCAGCCCTTTGAGGCTCCTGGCTTTATTCAGGAGTATAAGGTCTTTCTGAAGGTTCAAGACTACATCTGCTGTACCCACATAGGTGCTAAAGCCCGTTCCCCACTCCTTGGTCCTACACCCAAATCCCACTCCCACAAGCTGCTGTGGCATCAGCTTCCACCCACAGCTCTGGCTTTGAGTTCCCTTTTTGTTTCTAGAATCTGCACATTTTCTTTGATTTCTTCTGATATTAGGGATGCATTAAATTTGTCATTAAATTTTAGCAAGGTGGCTCCCTTCTACTTCAGTTCAGTCTCCCATATTGCTGGCAATCCACCAAGAAGTGCTCCTTCCAGCTTACACAAAGCACCTTCAGTTTCGTCTGTTTTCCTTGGTTTAGTCTTGGAGATTTTGTCATGAGAGGAGAGAGGAAAAACTTTGGGTCATTATCCGAATGGCTTCTTGTCATTCACATGTGTCTAGCTTGCATCCTTTCTCTAGTTAAAAAAATGATGCCCTCTAGAATCCTTTGATAGGCAGCTAGGAAATAATGAACTCCTGCCCTTCTTCAAAGGTAATAATTTCCCTAAGGTAGTAAAATATATTTATAGACCAACCATTTTTAAGGGCTGAAAACATCAAAAAGAATTTCACAGTCAGTCAGTTAAATAATGACCAGGATATAGTAGGACATTTGGAAATAAACGGAGACTGTCACAAAGTGCTCAAGTACTTTATGGCAATTTATAGCTTATATAAGAAGAAGGGGGGTTTCCCCAGGGGATTATTTCCTCTCTTGAAATCCTCTCATCTCTAAAACAGCTTCTGATCAGCAACAATGGCTCCATAAAAGTGACCTGATTTTTCAAAGCTTTTATTTGTTTCCCTGATTCTCAAGTTATTCTGCAGGACAAAATGCTCACTGGCGACCAACAATAGAAGCCTGAAATCAAGCGACATATTCAGTATCACCTCATTCAGTGTTTTGCTAGTGATACGCAATTATCCCAATTTAACAGCTTGCTCCCTGCTAGACTTCATGAACGTATAAGCCCAGAAATGAGTGGGAAAGCGTCCTAACTCTTTATTGTGCACCATGACATTCCACATGGCATTGGCTGTTCAAGGAGGCAAAGAGTTATACGGGAAGAGATGGGAAACAATCAGAGTTTTTCTGTTGGTAATTAAGATAAAAAATGAATAGGAAGACCATGACATCAGCCCACCTGCTTGTTTGACTTGGCAAAACTGATCCCAACACCCTGCAACACCGGCCCTGAGAAGCCCACTGGGCAGGCGTCACATCTGAAGCCGGGCGCCAAGTTCACGCAGCGCACGCCCGGGTAGCAGGGATGATATTTGCACTGGAGACAAAACAAATTTCAAAGTCTTTAGCCACATGGAGAAAACAGTCTCAAGTTTCACTCATCTATTTGCACATGCTCATTTATTCATTTAACTATCCATTTTTGGGTTGCCAAATGATAAAAGGAAATAGAGCCTTCCAATTCTGTAGTCACCCACGGAATCCCTGACCCACACAGTCTGGGGCTGCCTGTCAGTTACAGAATAAGGGCACAGCCAAGTAGAAGGAGTCCTTCGTGTTAGCCAGTCTACCTCCCGGTGTAAACTGCCTGATATTCTAACTTGGACTTTTAAAATCTCTGTGAAAGGATGGTGCTCCTGGACCACTTGTCAGCTGGCTGTTAGACGAGCCAGAGGGATTACTGAACCAGCCACTCACATGAAAAGACCTCGAGAAGAGAAAGTCAGGGCAGTTGCTTCTTCAGGAGGATGTGGTCCATGGGAGTCTGTGCCTGCCTTTGTGCCCTGTCAAGTCCGTGGCTGTTCCAAGGCTCTCAGAGTCTAGGAGATTGATTCTGATCCTTTTTTTTTAACCACTTCAACTAATGTAAAAAACATGACCACTTCCTGTCCTTTCATAAGGAGGAAAATTCCAGCTCACAGATAAAAACCAGATGCAGTTCTATAAAATATGTGCAGCTGTTTCTTCAATTGAGGGATTATTAGAGACCATCTTAATTGCTTACTACTTGGGGAGATAATCAGCTGAGTGCTACCAGGAGCCTGCAGGAGCTGTGTGTGTGTCTGTGTGTGTGGGCACGGATATGTGAGTTTGCATATGTGTGTAAGCATGTGAATGTGTGTGACCACATATGTGTGTTTGCCTGCATGTGTGTGACCACGTATGTGTGTGTGTGTAAGTGTGTGAGTCCGCACGTGTGTGTGTCAGCATGTGCCTAAGTTCCTTGCATGCACCTCACCCCCTCCATTTCTCCTGCCAGCCTTCCTCTGGCAGGGTGGGAGGGGAAAGGCACATTCTGGTGGCAGCCTTGCTACCTACTACGAACCCTGCTTTGGGATTGGAGTAGTCACTGGCTAACCGTGGTCTTGAAACGGTCTCTTTCAGAAGCTTTGCCAGCCAGCCAAACAGCCTGTAGTTGCTGGATGTGTCTTTCTGGCTCTGTCCCTGGGCACTTCTGGCTACTCACAGGTTATGTACCCTCCTCAACAGGTCTTGTTGGTTTGAGATTCCCTTCTACTCCTCTATTTTAGGAAGCCTGAAGAAATTAGTTGCAACCCTTGAAATATATCCTTACAGAGATCTTCCCCCCCCACATTTGCAAAAGTGTAGAAAAATCAAAATTGTAACATAGATTGCTAAAGAGAAATAATCCGTGTTAGAGTATAAAGCTGAATTCTCAGCATTGTAGCAACACGGAGCAGTAGATGAGCTGGAAACAGAGAGAGAGAGATTACAAACACAGCCACAACCACGAGTCACGCCTCCTTCCTCCCGCCGCTCACGCTCACAGTGTCTCATGTCTTCAAAGATTCACAAGGAAGTGATTTTTACGTAGCCTGAGGACAACTCAGGTCATCTCTTGTCATCAGCTTGCCTTCTTTTCCCACAAGCTGCAGGGGATGCAAGATTCTTAGGGAGCCCCCACCCTGTCTAGCCGAACTTTTACCTCATCAACATCAGAACAGGTAACCCCATTTCCCGTGTAGCCCTCGGGACAGGGCCCACACTGAAAGCCATCTCTGGTGTTGGTACAGCGGACGCCACGGAAACATGGGTTGGAATCACACCGGCGCATTGGGGGTGTCGGAGGTGCTGGGGGTGCGGGGGGCACCAGTGTGTTCGGGGTCGGAGACTGAAAGCTGAGAGGACCTAGAGAAAGACAATAATCCATAGGCTTATTCACCACCAGGAAAACAGCTAATACAAAAGGAAATTTGGTTCCCCGGTGAACTTCCCTTCCCTCCGACTCTGTGCCAAAGCTCCAGAAACCACAGCCAAGGCGGCCTCACCCCAGGCCCTTCATCAGTCTGCATCTGCTCGTCCAACTCCGAAGGAGCCAGTTACTACAAATGCACTTACCGCAAGCCTGGCATTCAGCTATGGTGTTTCGCAAAAACGTTGTTTCCTTGACCTTTAGAAATGAGAAGGGAAAAGAAAAGATGGAAAAGAGTACCTGATATATAATCCAGGAATGAAAGAATCTGTGTGCAGCAATCTATTAAACAGCTGTGGGTTTTTTGATGAGGAAGACTGGCCCTGAGCTAACATCCGTGCCCATCTTCCTCTACTTTATATGTGGGATACCTGCCACAGAGTGGCTTGATAAGTGGTGCGTAGGTCCACACCTGGGATCTGAACCGGTGAACCCCTGGCCTCCGAGGGAAGCATGTGAACTTCACCGTTATGCCACCGGGCTGGCCTCTGCACAGTTCTTAAAGGGAGAGCTAACGTAGGCCCTGACAGCTCCCGCTCTGCTTGGAGCCATGGTCCGTTTATTCCATGCTTGTCCTCCATCTCCGGAGCCCTTGCAGTGGAGCCCCAGGGCGGCAGGCTGCGTGGGGCCACCTGCATTCTGGCTCTAGGTCCACCGCCCTGCTCTGCAGGCCGGCACTCCACCAGCTTGTCACAGAGCTTCTCTGATAAGACTGGGGCTTTTCTGACGGTTTGTCCTCCCTGTTACCTGCTGTCTCAGAAGATCCTTCACCTCTCCCAGGAGCTGGTTTAGTTGTGTCATTTGCCCCAAGAATTGACGATTAAAGTCTCCTGTAGCAATAGCAAAAGGTAAGGAGCATTCAGCCAGTGACAGCCCTCTCTGTGGTGACTCACAAATGACTTCCCAGAGAATCATCATGACAAAAGCCTAGGGTTTAGGAATTTAACTTGGGGTAATTCATCCAATTCACCTAAAAAATAATGATAATGATGCCGCTAGCTAATTAGTTCAAGTTCAGATGAGTTACAAAAATAAAGATGCAATGGAAATATTTCTTGCCCTGGACTTTGGCACAGGAACATGATTTCTGAGGATACACCCTGTAGGGCTGCTGTGCTGACAGCCCACGTTTCAGTGATGGGACCCAGCCCATCCAGGGGCCTGGGGCTTGTTTTTAATGAAGGTGCACAAACTGTGCAGGAGCTCACACCTGTGCTCGTGGCGGCCAGCGGCTCACTCTGCTGCAGGAAGCAGTCTTGCAGGCTGGCGACCTGGAACAGCGAGCCTCGCACCACCAGCTTCAGCTCTTCCAAGAAGTCCTGGAAGAAACCACATTCATAGCACACATTGCTGACGCTGTTCAGAAGCCAAGGTGTGTACATTCTCACACAAGTTTCGTAACAGAGTAGCCCTGTATATTTGGACCCTGACATCTTACATACTTTTGTGGGTCTGCCTTTCTCCTAAAGCCTGCCAGCCCTGTCCTTTTGACTGACACAAATACGGAAGGAGCCAGTAGCCTAGGAAAATGCTGACATTCAGCTCAGCCTGAGAGTTCATCGAGGTGGCTCTGAGAAGAGCAAAGGCTTTTTCCTTCATGGCAAAGAAGTTATTTTGTGGCACGAGACTCTGAAGACGTGTCTGGAATTTGTTTATGGAGTTTAGACTGTAATAAATAAGACACTGATCCCAATTACAAACACTGTTGTTTTTAGGATGTCTTGGCTGCCGGTTTTAGCAAAATTTCTGATTTCCCTGGGCTATGAGCATGAATAAACAGTCTATTCTAGGATTATTAGGTAGCTGGCATCATATTGTCACATTACTGGTTGATATCGATTATTCACTGTTAGTCACAAAATCAGTCAGTTTCCTCACCCCTTTATTTTGGAACTTTTAGTCATACCCATTATTATATATACATGACGGAAAAAGTTTACGTTAACTGCCAACGTAAAGTCATCATCTTTATTTTAGAAATGAGCATGCTGAGGATTTTCAGAGGAATCCTACTTTTTAATTTAGCTAAGTTATGTATGCAAGAAGTGCTATGTAATAGATACTGTGCTGGACATCAGACTATAAGCTCTACGGAGGCAGGACCATGACTATTTTGCCCACCACAGTGTCCCTAAGGCCTAGAATGTGCCTATTTGTTGACTAATTGTCTAAATGAATGAATGACAAGGTGACTATGAAGGTGGAGCACTGTGGTCCCTGCTAATAGTCTAAGAAGGTAGAACTTTTGAGAAAATTCTAAGGAGCATAGTTTCTGATGACCTTGTCCTGGCTGACTCCTGGCTTTTAGAATTGACTTATTTGGTAGTGGACATTAATTTCTGAAATGGTCAGTGACATAATTTCTGACTGTCATTCTGATTATCTGAGCTAATTTGGGGATTCAGAAATAAAGTTTAGCATCTCTTCCTATTCATTTTTTTTCTCTCTATATAAATCTCTCTACACTAAATACATATACATCTTTCTCTCTCTCTGCAAAAACAAAACAAAAAAACCTTGGATTTTAGCTTTCTTTCAATTTCTGCTTGAAAATGCTTCCTATTTTCTAAGCACAAAATTCTTGTATCAGAGCATAGTTTTTATATTATTATCTAAAACTTCTTAGCATTCCTGCTTGTAATGGGAATTATTGCTTACACTCTGTCTCTTCGTAGAAAGGGTTCAGAGCAGCTTGTAACTAAAGCACATATAATAAAATAAAATAGGAATGGAAAATGAGGATTGAGAGAAGACAATGATATTATGAGCTTGTAACAGATGAACAAAGTTACAGATTTTGGCACTGACTTCCACATCAGATAAAATTCAGGAACTACGACCAGTTATAATTAATGGAAGGGACAAAGAATACTAGTTCTTTATAGGAAACAAAGTATTTCCTAGCACAAAACTCTAAAAGAAATTTTTGTGGCAATTTCTACAGAAAGTGCAATGATATAATGAAAAAAATACTATTAACATAGCATAAAACAGAAGACAGAGGTGATGGGACTGATAAGGCCTCATGGAACTAGGTCGGCAATAAGGTCCTTTGTGTTAGGGATGTTCTAATATGACCTGTGAAGAATGTCGTTCCTAGCGCTTGGCAGTTCCAATCATTCTTTTTTACTTTCATTAAAAAATAATAAATAATAACACTACAGAAAGATTGAAAATAGATCATCCTATTATGCTGGGATAGCTTAATTTTTGCTATTCCTTTCCAACTTTACATTCATATCCCAAAAGTGTCAGCTTATCATCTAAAGCAGAAGATCCCAATTTTGGCCTCACATCAGAATCAGTATTTTTAAAAATCCTGATGCCCAGGTACCATCCCTACAGATTCTGATTCAATTTGTCTGGAGGGTGAGCCCTCTACCAGCAGTTTTTAAAGCTCCGCAGGTGATTCTAATATTCGGCCAGAATTAGACCCTCTCGTGATGTCAGCACCCTCCTCTGCACTCCCTGAACCTCGGCCACCCATCTCTCCACTTTGGACAATGGTCTGTGGGTTCCTACCTGTGCCTTCCTCTGGAAAGTCCTCAATTCAACGGACTCAGCATTCTGGGAGAGGCCAGAAAAGGCTCTGGGGAGATTGTGAACGGAATCCACTTGCTTGCAGTCCAGGTAGAGATCCACAGAGCCAGCCCCTCGCCGTAAGTTGGTCAGTCTCAGGAGGACCCTGTGCCGCCTGCCATCAGCCAGCTGCAGGTTGTTGAAAGCCACCAGGTGAATCTTCCCATCATTCTTCAGGTAGCGGAGGATGGCTGGAACCAAGCACAGATCGACGAATGATGAGATAAGGGAACAGGGGAGATTCTGAGCTGGACAGCCTCCAGGTCACATAGCTGGGTGGCTGGAAAGAATGCAAGCAAGTTGGAACTATGAATTTCCAACATCTTGTAGGCCAGGCATTGTTCTAAGCACTGGCAAGCCACCCTGTTGCCGAGGATGTTTTGTGCTTATGGAGAGACAGACAATACATAGCAAATGTGAAAATAAACAATATAATTTCAGATAATGATAAGTACAATGAGCCAGCAGAGCCCAACAAAAGTCAACTAAAATCCATCTAAGCTCCTGAGGGCATGAATTCATTAATTCACCAAGCATTTACTGAGCGCTACCATGGGGCTGGGTGCTGTGCTTAGTTTCTTTAAACACTTAAGTTCTACTCATTGCAACCCTATGAAATTGGAACAACTAGTGATGTGGAAAGTGACGCTCAGATAAGTGAAGGAACTTGCTCAAGGACATAGCAAGTGGCAGGACTAGAATTTGAAACTGTGTGTGGTTTATTCCATGACTAAAAGAATGGGCAAGGATAGGCCTTTGTAAGCATCTGTTGAATCAAGGGTAACCTGTCATACTGTCCCTCAGCAACCTATCCTCATATTTAACAAAGCTCAGTTAGAAAACCAAAGGTATCCACGGGTTCAAAAGAAGGACCAGGAGGGAGACCCAGCACCTGATTTTGTTTGTTTTTTCTACACAGGTAGCTATCTATTCACAGATGTTATTAAGCTCACTAAATGAAAATTCATTCAAATTCTAAAATTCTGGTTTTCTGCCTTGCTTTTTACTCTATTATTGTCTTGAATATATTGAGCCTTGACCTAAAATCTATGCCTGGATGCTGAACTTTTGGGAGTGAAGCCCATTGGGTGAGGTTTGCTGTAAAGACTAGAGTGATTTGCTTCCAAGGGCTTAATGAGTTTACCAACAACACCTCCAGGTCCATTTGTAGGTACCACTGCCAAACCCAAGTTCATCACTAGAAACAATCACTTCAGAAATCTTATAACAAACATTTGAGAGAGGGAGGGCTGGCCACTTAAGTTATGGTATAATCATAAAACAAAATACTGTGGAACAGTTGCATATTAAAAACACAAAAAGACATTCCAAGTATTTTATGGAGTGAAAAAAAGGTTATGAGTCAGTATAGTTTCAACAGAAAAAAATATATGTGTGTATGTATATACATGTATATATGCAAATACAGGTAATTAGAAGGAAATATGTCCACATTAATATGGTCATTGATGGGCGCTTGGATGATTGTTTTCCTCCTCTTGCTCATCTTCATTGTCTAATTTTTTGAGAAGAAACATGCATTACTTATATAAGACAAAAAAGTGAAAAAGAAATGAATTACACACATATACCCAGACTGTGCTGCTGTCACTCTGAATGATTCTCAGAAAGTAATTCAGACAATCTTTCCTCAAGTACCTTTCCTGTTGAGTGTAAATGCCAACTTGGTGCTGCCCCACGGAGTAGCCAGCCAGGAATACCTGTTTACATTGCAGTATTGCCAGAGAAAATAATCACCACTGTCAAACTCAGGATGTATTTGAAATATATTAGACTTTCTAGGTTGATTTTCCCATCCCTTCTAAAACCTGTCTAGATTTGCTTTTCCATTTGCCCATGGCTGGAGAGGGCCAGGTGGCATCAGATTCTGTGATGTAGAGAGATGCCAGGAGGAGTCAGGAGATCTTCTCGTTGCCTATGTGGTCACCACCACTTGCTCCCTGAGAGAAGAGAATTGCTAAGACCTGGCAAGGTAGACGGGCTAGAGGCCTTTCTATGATGGTAGTATAACACTATGTTTCCTGAAGTAAAGTATTGGTAAGACTTAAACAAATGTGGTACGAAGAGAAAGAAAATAGTGGGAAGGAAGAAAACAGACATGAGCAGACATTCTTGAGGCATTTTAAATATGGGGTTCAATTGGATTTTTACCCATTTATTCACTACTGTTGAGAATTTACAGTGGTAACCGCATGGCTGGAAATTGGAGGTACATATGGTACCCAAAAGATGGGGAAAATTGAGCTCAAACATACGCACTAATTCAGTTTTTAAAAACTTCTACTTCTTTACTTTTTTGAACAGTTTTGCAAGTACCTGGAGTTTTTCCAGGCCAATAAAAATACCACTTGGACCACCAACTTTCACTTGGTCATAGACACGTATACTCAACATCTCCTTATTCTTGTTACAGCCACAACTACTGTTCTGCACATTAACAATTTAAGTGGATTCCCATAGTGGTTTCAAATAAATACCCTTGGTTTTCCTCCCCAAACTGAGGATTTCTGTGGAATTCAGAGGAAACATATTTTCATGGGCATCTTGCCTGCTTTTAACAGGCCTTCTTCCAGGGCATGTGGGCCATGATTTATTTTCATAATGGAATTGTGTAAGTTTAATTTTATAAATAGTACCTCTTGGAGTACTTTAATGTAACAGGTACACATTAAATGTTGTGAACATGAACTTTCAATGAATAATTAAATGACTAGATTTAATGAGCTTTTAATATATAAATGAAAAAGTTTAGAGAGTGGCAATTCAACGTCTACTGCAGGCAGCAAAACCTACTTGTGTGTTAATGCCATCATTGAAGGGGATTCTATCCTTCTGCCTTGCTGTGTGTTGCAAGGCAACACTGAAATGACAAATTCCTCATGCTCCTAGATCTTGAGACAACAGCAAGAGGACAAAAAGGAAAAGAAGAATTATGGAAACTTCCATCTTCACAGTGTCTGTCGGCAGAAAAATTATCAAGTGCTTTGTCATTTACCATTCTTCATACTTGATCCAATAACTCTCATTTCTCTTATGGCTTCCATTTTTCATTTTTCTTTTCTATTGCAGAGTCCTTACTTCAGTGCTTCTCTACTTATTTTATCTTCAGAGCAGTAAGACGACCCCAGAGGGCAGACAGGCACCTGCTTAGGATACTCAACGTTTTTGCATCAGTCAGGCCGAGTCTGGAAACAGCCTAGAGTTCCGGCCCGGGAGCCTGCAGCCTGCTGGGTGGAAGTCTCCCTCATCTTCTCCAGAGGTGGAAAATCGGACGGAGAGAAGAGACACAGTGCCCTTCCTCTCTGCTGCCCCCTTTCCCACTGCTCACCTCACCCTACCTTAGCCCAGCACACACACAGCAGAGGGGGGCACAGGGAGGGGCAAATACTACAGAGTGAGTAAGACGGGCATTTCCCCTCCAGAAGGAGCAACAGGGCAGCACCCTAGAAGGAGCCGCCTTCTCCTGGGCCCACCACCCCTCCGCCTGTCTCCCCCCCGGCAGCATCGCACTCAGGGAAAGTCAGCGGGGACAATTCTTCAGCTGCGGCACACTCAGTTCTCTGGTTCCCTTCTCACTCACCACCAGCTGGAACAAGCGTGCTTGGTGATTTCCACCTGGCTCTCTCGCTGCCCGGAACAAAAAACTCAGGGCACATCTGATTAAAACTGAAGACTGCAGGTCTTCAAATGGCCTTTCTGCCTCTTCTTGGTTCCGTCTCTGGGTTTCTCTGCCAGATTCCTGACTCCCCTTCCTCCTGAAGGTCTCCTTCTGCACAGTTTTTCTGGAAGGACAGCCTGAGCTTCTCACGGGACTGTTGTGACCAAGTTATTGCCTTCTCAAAGTCACATGCAAACAAGCGAATGAAATCCTTCAATAGCCCTCTACTGGATCCTAAACAATGTCTAAACTCCTCACCCCAGAACCGACCCCGCCCTTCCAGACCCTTCTCCCTGACGATGCCGACCAGGCTGAACGACCTGTCCTACGTTTCCGCCTCTCTCTGGCTCTCTTCAGCCTCCTCATCCTTCTCTCTCTGCAGAATGTTCTCCATCATTCTACTTCCTGCTCCATCATTCTACTTCCTGCTCCAACATCGCTACACACCTGAAGCCAAGATTCAGCTCGAATGCACTCTACTCCCTGAGGCCTTCCTGCATCCCCATAGGTTGGAAGTTATCTGTCTCATTCAAATTCCCATAACGTGTTCTCTGTGCTTTTCTAGGTGTACTTTTCCAGGACTTGCATTCCAGTCATGGCTCAGATACTGAAAAGCTATGTGACCCTGGGCCTGTTCATTTTGCTAAGTGTCCATTTCTTAAACTATTAAATGGAGTTCATAGAAGCTGCCCTTCAACTCCATTTTGTTTTTTGTGGTGGTCAAATAAGAAAACGCAAAACTGTAAACTGCTATACAAATGTAGGTATTAGTATATTTATTTTTGTTTATTTATTATCTTCTCTATTAGAGCAGAAACTCTTGGGATCAAGAGTCTATTTCTTACTAATTTTACCATACACCATAGCAACTGAGAGCATCAAGCACAACTATTTATTGAATAAAAAATAGATGAAATAGAGTATCCATGTGTCCACTCTGATTTTTTTTAACCCACAATCTTTTATCAAAAGGTGGGGGGCAGTTTCTATTGGTTTGTGCCCATAAATCCTTTCCTTCTAAACCTGCAACTTTGTGTACTTGACAAGTGGGGGCTGATTTCACGGCAACATTTCCATGCCTGGGTACCAGCCTGAGACAGGAACCACATCGCCTAGCCTGCTTAAATACCATCCCAGTGACTGGCAGGAGATGAAAAAGCAAACCCAAGCAATGAAGATTTGAAATATTGCTATCTTGGGGAAGGATTTTCAAAAGAGTTTTTGAAAAGTGGACCTGGTAGTCAAAAATATTATGATGTGTTGAATGTCAAAGCAATGAAGCAGAGTGCCGGCTTTAAAGAACTGGAAACGATAATATTTTGTCTGCTTGGGCAAAGGAGTTCCCAGTGACCTAGCCTGGAGGCAGCAGACTAGTGAAGGTAGTCTGGGACTTTCTGCTTTGCTTGGCAAATGGCTTTGCTCTTTGGCACTTTTAAATATATGAGGAAAGCCATTGCTGTCAACCTTTCCTCTTCTTTTTAAATAATTGTACATTTATAAAAAGCCTCCTTG